GGACCTGCTGGGTAACGCCACAAAGAACCCAAGAAGGGCTCCCACAGGACATACAGAACATCCCACAGCACCTGACTCTTGTCACAACTTACTTTTCGACCCACCTAAAGGATCTCGTTTTAACGTGACCACCTCCATGATAACCTTATTACAATGATATCACATAAAGTTTAGGTCTCCAATTTATTTTATAAGGTACACAGTTCCAACCCATAGGTTATACTACAAGTGGTCAACATTGTCAACTTTTTAACTCATGTTGTCCAATCAGAAAGAAGGACAGGCTACAGTTGTTAACTTCAATAAGTAAAAACAGAGACCTAGTTACACTGGTATTTCAAATTAATATGACTTAATGTAGGATGAGATGTTTCTTTTAAAAAATACATTGTTTCTGTAAATCACAAATTTGACAAGATGAGCTGTATTTTCTCAGGCAATCCTCACAATGTTCCCCATTCCCCTCCTAGCTTCCAGTTACTGTTTCTCCCTATTACATGAGAAGCAATGGCCTTTCTGCTGAGAATCCTGCACTAGGAGCTGTGTGCTTTGGGGGACAGTAGCCAAAGTACAATCAGTGTTTTATTTGATTGAGGCATTTACCATTTCTAAGACTCAGTTTCTTCATCAATTAGAAGGAAATAAATATAACTTTCCTACCCTCTTAAATTATTATTGTAATACTTGAATAAGATAAGTGAAATACAAGTGTCCCCAGATGGCCAGAGTGTCAAAACAGAAGGTCATCATTTATACAGTGGCAAGTTGGGGCGTTTGCAATCCTGCCTTATTCCCTGGTCTGTCAGGAAGCCAGGCAGATAGACTAGTCATCACCATCCTTTACCTGCAGTAATTAATAGTCTTCTTCTGGAACCATGGCCATGGATGTAGTGTTTCACATTTGAAAAAAAAAAAAAAAAAAAAAGCTAAAGAATGGAACTAAGAAAAAAAAAATTCCCACCAACAATTTAATACATCTCTCTTTCTGGATATGGACTTTTGTAACAGTAGGTAAGAATTCACCTTTTAAAATTGGAAAATATCCCATCACACATACACACAAAATATTAATAAGGAAGGGTAGGAGACCATGTAATGCTGAGTATTGACATCACAGTCTTTCACTAACAACATGCAACCAATTCTAGAGAAAATTTTCAAATAAGAACTGGAATAATTACCTATACTTGCTAAATAAACACACAGCGTGGTACTATCAAAATGAAAATCCGTCATTTCTATTTGGACTCTGAGGACCCATAATTAAGAAAGCTTGGCAGCTGTTTGAAATCCACACACCTAAGGAGGAAAATTATGTGCTTTTTCCAGTAAGGAGACTGTGATTTGTATTTTAAATTCTGTCTCTAAGGGATTTCTTACCAGAAGGTGAAAGATTTTTCTTCATTTATTTGAATCAAAGTGTTCTTATTAGAATTTACAAAATGTACCATGAATGTAACAGTATGTTCTAGTAGATGGCTACAAGCTTATGTAGCACTCTGAGATATTTACCATTTCATTTTCCTCAAATAATTATCATAAGTCATACTTCATGAGTTATCAATAAAATATCCTTATCCTTGTTTCAATTGGATATTTAAGTGAGCTACTATCAACTGTTGCAAAAATGCACATTTCACAACATGTACTTCCTTTAAAGCTGTTACATACTATTAGTAATGAACATAGTGAATATTTCCATTAGTAGGTCACACAAAAGAAAAGTCCTATGAAATTCATTGTCAAATACAACATTGTTCAAATATTTATGTTAGCTAGAAAAGCTAATATTTCTTCTTCTAATTAGAACTCTAGTTCTAATTAAAATTTCCCTTCTTAATCTTCTTATGTTTAATTTAAAATGTAGCCTGGAGGTATTTTTAATAGAAAGCAACTTAAAATAACCAGTGATGTTTTCATTTTATCCAAAGTACCCATCGCAGCAGAGAACACTGAGGGGAAAAGTAATCAATCAGTCTTGCCGAAATCACTTAGAAGTAAGAGAGGCCTATTCACCTCTGTTCTCCCACACAGGTCCCCAGCAGAGAGAAGGACTAGAGGGATGAGGTGGCATCTGCCAAGAGGACCCATATACAAACACTTCCCCTGAAAAGCTTGACAAATATCCACCGTCAGAAAATAATTTTACAAGCTCTATGGTCTTAGCTGTTGGTGAAAAGATGCTGTAGATGAGCTTATCGTCCAAAGTCATCTGAAATTGTTGGGTTAGGTGGCTTAGCGATTTCTTTCTTTTTTAAAATGCCCTTTTGAAGTTTGCAAACCATTATACCATGCAATGGAACCATGCCATGGCTGAGCTTTAGACCTAAGAAGACAAGTTTCCACTAATGATTATATCTCAACCTTAGACATTAGTCACTGTTAATCTTTTCATCTTGCCACACACACACACACCCGTTTAACTATCTCCTGCCATGATAACAACCAAGCAAGCAAACCCTGTGCAGCATTTTCATATCACTTACCTCTAGCCTTTTCTTCCCACTCTAGAGCTCAGAGATATAGTACAAAGAGCAGGGCCCCTATGATGAGTAGTCAGACGAACTTGGTCCTCCATCCAGATGCTGTCACACCTGACTATGCTTTAGCTTCAACCTTGCTTCCTACTTCTCTGTTCCGTGGATGTGGAGGTCACTGAAAGGACCCTATTTAGGTAATGAAATATCTTTATAAAATCCACATGCCAGCTTACCCAGCTAATTTGTTTCAAAAGCCAAATCAAAGTTATCTGCCAGAATCTCTCATTTCATAATAATCATTCATGGAAAACTGTCCAAGTTTCTGTGGGCTAAGCATTCTTGTATCTGCTAGGAGTAACTGGAGATCAGCCATGAGGTATGACAATATGAATGCCTCTGCCCTCACAGAGTCTACAGTCAATGAAGGGAGACAAGTGCATCAACAATAGCCCTATTGCACCATGCACATCCTTTATAAAGGATACAGGATACCACTGAGCAGGTATGCAAGGCTTCATACATCATAACCCACTCAGTGGCATTTCTGAAGTAGCTCCTGTACACCATTTACTATGCCATTGCTTTGTAAGTAGCATCTTACTGATTTTTGGGTCAGACCTATGCAATCATGGGTGAGAAAAGTGAGACACCAAAAGGTAAGCTGGCTTATCCAACTCACAGAGAAAGGCAAGGACCAAATTTAACCAGGAATGGGGTTCAACCTTTCACAGGTAGAATTTCACCTAGGTCAACTAGAACCCTCTCAAAGGAAAGATTGAAATATTTCTTATTACTAAAATACACAGGCTTATTCATTAAAGCAGAAAGAAATATGTTAGTGATTTGATTGAAATGAAATTTATTACACCTACTAAGTAACTCACAAAACTAAAATAAGTTCCATAAAACTTCCAATGTGTCCAGGGCCCAGGATTATCATAATTGACTGAAGAGCTGAATCAAGAACTGTGGTTACTGTGTTCATTTCTGCCATACTTATTTCAGGAGGGTTTTGACCTCCCAAAAATCAATCACGGATGGAAATCACCGAATGGTATCACTATGACCACAGAGGACCCAGAGGACCAAGAAAGAAGATGCAGGTGTCGTGTGTTTCTACTTAAGAAATACCTAAGCATCAACTCTATTAAAATGTCCCTTGGTACAGCACCAAGCTTGGAAGGGCACATGGAGTAATATGTTTCCTCATTTCCTTCAAGCTCTTCTCGACTTTCATTTTGTACAATCATTTTTATTTTTCAACTTCCATCTGGGCCATTGGGGGAGAAAAAAAAAAACAGCCCTCTTATTCCCATTAGCTTTAGTGCTTTTATAGCAAACAGGGGCATTTATTCTTCAATTTACTGGCCTAAATATTGTTTCTGTGCACTAGTTAGAAATCTAAAATATTAGTGGCAATTGAGAAATAAAGGTGGCGAACATGTTGGAGTAATAAGTAGTAAAAATGTGTTTTGTTTTGCAGCTTCAGAGAAGCAATTACACCGCTTTTGAAAATGAATGTAGCAAAATTGTAAACCATGCCATTTCTATTTTGGCCTTCAACTGAAACTCCCTCTGTGGCAGTCAGTGTACACAAAGTGCTATCGAAATCAGCCTCAGACAATATACAGAGGACATTTATCCCATTTCCAGTGACAGATATGGGCAAACTAGAGCTGGTGGAAATAAAAATAGCAGAAGCTACAATATATTCTTAACAAAATGTACTCAAGCCTGTCCTTTGCCGTATGTGTTGTATTTTGATCACATGTACCCCCAAATTGAAATTTCTTACATTTATAGCAATGGTGCTTAATGTTCATGAAAGCTTAAAATCTTTGTCATCCAATAGATTGCTAAGATTGCTGACAAACCAGTCTCCTAATTATAACAAATATCTGATATCTTCTACAAGTACTTTGCATCTAAAGGTGGTTTTAACTAAGAAATGCTATTTACTATATTTTCTTTTATCAAATTTACTCTGAATATCTTTTACACCTTCACAAGGACTTGTATTTTTGTGTGTATTTTTTCTCCAAAAATTTTATTTTTATGCATTATATATGTATGTATCATATATGTACATACATACACACACACACACACACACACACACACACACACGATCTCTGAACTTTTCAAAAGGAGGGTTCAATTTGATCTTTTCTACTAGTAGAAAGTGGTCAATAAGGTATATAAATTTTTAAAACCAACTCCTATAAAATACAGTTTTGTGGACTTACAATGTGAATTTTTGGAAATAATACCTTAGGGCTACCAGCTTTCTTTTTCCCAAACAGAGGGTAAAAGACCTCGCAGAAAAATAGCTTTTCCTATTATGTCAAGAGAGGGTATACATGGGAGGCGGAAGAGGGGGAGATTCCAAGTAAGATGAAAAACTAAGTGAGTTTACTAAAGGACCACAATCTGAGGATCAGACTGTTGTCAGAGCAAGAGAAAGACTGAAAAACAAAGCAACGCCAAACACATGGAAAAATAACTGGGAAAAATAACTACCTTGAGCAGTCGCTGTCAGGCTCTCATGCATCATACAACTTGTTCAGGTGTTTCCAGATTTTAGCTCAGTCACAACATGGTTGACACTAGAATAGAGAAGAAACTGAAACACACACAAAAAAGGATATGAGAACTGAAGGGGGACGCCACCAAGAAGAAGCGAAAAGACAAGAGGGAGTGAACCGAGACCAAAGCAGGGCGTGGAAACGCAGTTGAGAACGGGGAATGATTGGAAAAAATAAAGCCAAGGAATTTGACCTTGAGGACATGGAGAGAGATGTGGAGCAATTGAAAGACAAGCTGGCCTTCAAGTGTCCTGTGGCGTCCTCGGGTAAGTCAACAGAGTCATTGTCTGTCTTTTCCCAACTCACAGGCTGTATTCTCTGCAGCATGAGGCTGACTGACAAACCCGTTAGAAATGCTCGTTCCCATCTCTTCACCACACTAAATGCTTGTACCTCGGTTTCTTACCCTGAAAGAGTCGGAGTCGCTGGTAAATATGTTCCACTTGAAGGAAGGTGAAAGGAGAAGCAAACAGAGCACTCAAAAATGAAAGTTGAGGTTTTAGTCTCAATTCTAAAATCTGGGTTACCTTTGGGTAGGTGGCAACCCTCTCTGATCCTGCATCGAATCACATCGGGGCAGAACAGTCTTTTCTCTGAGGTCCATTGCGGTCCTGATGTGATGTACTCTGCTACACTGGGAGCAGGCGTGCTGTTAATACAGGAAAACTGTTGCTAGTGACTAATTCATAATAAGAATTCCAGGTTTCCAATCCCTGTCAGTGTTGCATGAACTCTGAAGATGTGAACTCAGGCCTGGGATGTGGAGATTACTCACCCTAGACAAGTGGTTAGGGTGTTTCCAAACAGGGACACACAGGCCTGCCAGGGTCGCCTCTCGGTGACTACATCTGCACCGCAGAGGACAGATCTGCATTGGAATAAGATATGAGCAGAACAGAATGCTCTCCCAGGCCCAGCAGAGCTGTCTGTCTTAAATGAACCTAAAGCCTATTAGCTGAAGCCTAATTACACCTTGGAAGTTGCTTGGAGAAAACAATTAAAAAGACCTTCAGCGATAGGATCTTGTCACTAGAGAAAGCTTTAGTAAGCAGGATATTCAAGTCAGGGAAAGCATCCCACTGAGTTGCCTTTGGCAAAAGGGGAAGGTGCTCTTGTCTCCCAGCATCCTGCTGGGGACTCTTGCTGAGACAACTGTTGTTTCAACACTGCTCTGGGGTAACATCCATTGTGCATGGTTATTTCTACAGTTGTGAGTAAGAAAAAAAAATGCAAATTTTCTATCATTCAACATAGAAGCTGGGGAAAATCCAAAGCATGTATCTCAAATATAACCCGAACAGCCTAATTACTTCAATTTTCCCCCTTTCATTCTATGGGTTTCCTCTCCATAGGCATGGATGGGATTTTCCTATCTGCCAGTTTCTTATTCCTAGATATTTCTGACATGTCAGTATTCTAAAAAACAACAACAACAACAACAACAAAAAAAAAATTGCTCCCCACTGGTGCTCATTGGTTAAGAGTCTGAATGTAATCAATACAACTAACACCATCCCTGGGCTTTCTAAATATAGCCTAGGAAGCAAACTTCCAGGTAGAGTCTCCTTTCCTTTCATCATTCAATGCTCTCCTCATCCTTTCCTGCTCGCTGGACCACTGTAAATATCCCAAAGCATCCCCTGCATACAGCTGTAACTTTAGAAGTTTCAACTGAAAGCCAATTTTGTCGTAAATATGAAAGCAAAATGACTATTCTTAGGACAAATTTGTGCTTGCTGGGTACATTACCCTACCCTTAAAATCAATCCAATGACTTAGCAGAATCCTCTCCTGGTATTTCCACATTGCTGAGGCACGCAGACTCTTTCCAGTGTTTTGTGCCTCAGTCCCTTACTTGGTCATCTGATGACAGGCTCATCTTTATCCCTCAAACTCACACAGACACTACATTTGGAGTATTAAATATGTTCCCAGGGAAAAACCAAGAACTGCTACTTTCCTGTGTACTGGGGTAGTTTTCTCAGGAAGTATGTGGAACTAGAGGAAGTATCAAGGTCCCACACAACTTTCCAAACATATGCATAGAAAACCTATCCATTTGCATAAGGTCTAAACATGAGGAAAAGGAGGGAAGGGACTATGAGACCCAGAGTGAACCTCAAAACTGGTCTGATAGCCTAAAATCAACGATAATACAAATTAAACTGTACCCTGTCATGCAGGGGGGAAAGTCCTTAAAGGTGACTATGGATCTCTGAGCCTTTCTATATTCATTCCAGGCACCGTGGGCAATGAGGAATGAGGGTCCGTGTTCTAGCACAGTGGTTCACAACCTTCTTAATGCTGTGACTCTTTAATACATTTCCTCGTGTTGTGGTGAACCCCAAACACAAACTTATTTTTGTTGCTACTTCATAACTGTAATTGTGAATTGCGATGTAAATATCTGTGTTTTCCAGTGGTCTCTCAATCCCCAGAGGGGTTGCGAGCCACAGTTTGAGAATCACTGCTCTGGTGAAAGGTGAACGTATAAGATAAACTACTCTACGATGGTCTTCAATGCCTATATGTATACTTTGTCTATTTATTGATTTGATATCTCTCTTATTGCTTGGATTGATGTCTACCCATTTATCCAGTATGGAGATGAATGAGAATGGATCTGTGCACTTGAAGCAAGACCACGTCTCCTGAGTTTGGGCACTTCCTCGCTATGAAAATGTTGCATAAATTTTCAGAAAGAAATCTAAGAATTATATAATCAATCATGCCACTCAACCCTAAGGCTACTGAAGCGTTTTTATCAGCCTCCTGAGACCTGTAAAGAAAAGGTCACTAAAATGAAGCAAATAGTGGAGTTTCTAACTGGGGCATGACTGATAACGAGCACACCCCAAATTATTTAGTGGTACTGGGCATTCTTTATGCATATTTTCAAAAAAATTATTCAGTGTCTTTCTCACATTAGGCTTATAGAAATCAATATAGTAATTTCTTATGCTGTTTTTCTGAGGAAGTATACATAATAATGATAAATAAGCATATTAGTTTAAGTACACAGAGATTTTTCAGTTTATAAATATGCTTACTGATAATGTGAAACAAAATGTAAATATGACTACACATTTCTTTTTTAAGATTTTTTTTTATGTGTATGTGGGAGTGCTTGTATTACGTCTGTGCATTGTGCATGTAGGTACCTATGAAGAACAGAAATGGGTTCAAATTCCCTGGAGCCGGAGTTACAGGGAGTTGTGAGCCGTCTGATTTTGGTGCTGGGAACTGAATCTGGGTCATTTGCAAGAGCAGCAAGTGCTCTTAACCACTGAGCCATGTCTTCAGCCTTGACTCCAAATTTCTTAGCTTTGACTACCTATTGCTATATAGTCTACACCACCCACATCTCTAAGTTACTTGCTTTGGGGTAATAATTCACCATTGTGAACCCAGTGACTCTTACTATCTTAGGATTTGTGCCCTACATGTCTCCCTACCTTATTTTACCACAATTGGTCACACAATTGATGTGATTGATAAGGAAAAAAGTGATGGTTTTGTTACTTCTACAGAGATGTCATTAACAACCTGGTGACTTCTGCCTTATGCCTTTCTTTTGAACTGTATGCTCTGGGCAAAGGTTGCTATAATATTATGCGAATACTAAAACTTACTTATGAGGAGACTCTTGTATGAAGACAAGGAATCGAGGAATTCCATCAATGATCACTTGAGTGGTTGTAAGCCAGGCCACTGGCCCAGTCAAGCCTGGAGTGGCTGTAGTCTTGGATAAAATCTCAGTAACTACTTGACTAAAGACTTTGAACCATAATCACCCAGCAGAGGTGCCAAGTAAAGCCTGGGTCATAAAACCTATACAATAATAGGTATTGCCTTCAGCCAGTAAGTTTTGGGGAAATTGGTTATGCAGTAGAAGAGAAGCCAATGTTTTTTCTTTTCTGGTCTTAAACATCTCAAGGTTGATATTTATATCTATAAACCAATATAGTCTAACGTAATTTTTTATGTATTCTAAAAGCATCGATTTAGGAGTTTCTTAATTTTCTAAGCAACTCAAATAACATATAAGATCTCAGTCTAATAAAACATGCTGAAGAGAGCCTCCCGCTCCTATTAACTATAGATCACAGGCTTCTTTGAGCAATGAGACACTCAAATGCACATGTACACACCAAACACACATGCACAAGTATAATGTGTATGAATCTTACCAAGATGCTAAGCAGAAGGTTTTATCAAAATTAGGAGATGGGGGAATGAATTTAATTTTATTATCTATTCAAGAAATGAAAATGAAGTCAGACTCCCTCAATGCTTTATTTTATAGAGGAAGATGCCAGCATCCTCTTTCCATAGACTGTTGGCACCTGCAATAATCATGCCTGGTAATTTTTCACTACCAGTGTTCTCATTATCCAAGAGGCAAACACTGTTTGATCATGACATGTTCACTGTCATGTTTCCCTGGTCAGTCCTCGGTGCAATTAAGTCAACTGACACTCAAGAAGGGCTTTGTGCTTAAAAGAAGTGTGCTCCTGTATTTTGCAATATTTTGCTACCATACTGGCGATGCCAGGTTCCCATTGCCTGAAGATATCCCACACAAGAAGCATAGCCCTGGGCCTCTCATTTTTAATCCTATGAGTTGTATTTCAGCATGAAATCTCTACTCAGCAAACCAAATTTACCACATCTCCAGCCAGAGCAGTTGGTGTCCAGGATGGGAACTCACCCAGTGAGGTTTTCTGTGTGTTCATGTGATTCTAGACTGTTTACTAAAAAGGAAATTTTGGGATGAGCAAATTATGATTGCTGAGCTTCCTTCTTATGGCTTTGTGAAATAATTCTCTAATAAAATAGGGGGGTTCTCATTAACAAGAAGATAAGAAATAAAATGTCGCCCAGTTTCTTTCATTTGTTAACTGAATTATGTCACTAACCATAAGTATGTGAGGTAAATTATACACTAATTAGCTTGATTTAGCCATTTCACAACTCTTATAAAGTAATCCTATGTATTATGCATGAAATGATTATTTGCCATTTTAAAAACTTGTCAGAAAAAAAAGTATCAATAGCCATAATTAGTTACATAACTTGTGAAATACACACTTCTTTTTTTACTTCTATTTTTTTTTTCTTTTTGCCAGATGAACCAGTGAACAAAGGGAAGCAATAAATCTTAGCTAACACATCAACACTTAAAACAAGAAGGGAGATGTTCAATATGCATTAATGACTTCCATATGCAATACCAGATTCCACTGTGGCCAAATAAAGA